TCATAGGTTCGGCGACTGGAGGGTTGGCTCGTTCCAGCCTGGCCTCGACTACCAGAAGAGGAAGAGGGCACGGCGCGTCGTGGTCGAGGACAGTCACGTGCGACATGTCCTCGGTCATTGCAGTTGTAGCAGCGGACGTTAGCTGACTGCAACATCACGTCGAGGTCCATCGGAGCGGGTCCTGCGGCACGATCACCTGTCGAAGATCCTGCGCCGGTGTTCGCAGCTTGTGAGAAGGGGGACAAGACTCCGGGGAAAGGAGTGTCGCGCCGCGGCTTGTTCTTAGGGCGAGCATCTCGCTCATGATGCCGGTGGGAGGTGCTCTGTGCCCGCTGTGTCTGATTGGCGAGTTGGCGGTTCTGAGACCACTCAAGTGCGAGATCGTAGACGTTGGACATGTTCGGTGCTGGGTTCGACCGTAGCGCCTCTGTGATGTACAGGCGAGCTTGCTGCGGGAGTGATGCCGAGAAATTCCAGCGGCGGTCCTGGTACGTCATCTGGTCGTCTGGAATCCGCGCGTCGAGAAGTTGGAATTGTTGGACAAACTCTGACATATCTCCCTGATAGACTAGTGCGTGCATACGTGCGCGGACCTGATCGAGGATGATAGGCGTGTCGAATCGCTGGCGGAGCAGCGCCTCAAAACCTGCCCAAGTTGTCGGGACAGCATTTCGTTGGCGGAGCCCATGGTACCAGGCGAGAGCCAGTCCATCAAAGTATGTCGCAGCTGTCGGGACCCACAGGTCCTGTGGAACAGCGGAGGCGCGTGCAGCATCGAGGAAGATGGTCACCCAGTGGTTTACGTTACTGTTAGGTGAGTCGAGGTTACCGCTGAAGCGTTGCGGCGAGACTCGAAGAGAACCGCGGCTAGCGGTCGTGGTAGGAGTGGGGGTCTGTACGGTCAAATGCGCCTGCGAGAGTGCGTTCGTCAGGGATTGCTCGAACTGCTGCTGAGTGAGCAGTTGGCCCTGTGTCGCTTGCTGCTGCTGTTGGGCTTCTTGCAGTCGTACCGTAAGCGAGTTAACGAGCTCCTGGATGGCTCCAGCAACTTCTGGGGAAAGCTGGTTATGGAGGACTTCGAAAGGGTCCATTACGGGCACGGTGATACCGAGTACAAATGTACGATAGGGGGCGCGCGCGGCGGTATGTAGTGCAGTGAGTACGCCCTATTCAAGGGGTCAGTTAGACGTCGTTGTTAATAGGCCTAGGACTTGATTTACCTCGTGTACGGACGAGCGGTCGCGTTGTACGCGAAATCTACTACGTTGGTCGAAGCTCGATAAGACAATGAGGCTAGAAGGAGTGGACGTGCGAGGTCAGCTAAAACCCCACACTGAATTCAGTGTGGTATCGCTCACTTCTGAGAAGACGGACTTCAGGCGGAGAAGGGAGGCGAGAGAATTCTGGGCTCTCAAGCGTATTCGCGTCGTACCTAAATACATGTTAAGTACAATAATCGTAATCTAATATGATCGACGAGTCAGCCGTCGATATTCATACAATACTCAGTAGTCAGCTACAGGCGAGTCATTCATGACCGAGTCGGTCAGAATATTCGGAGAGGTTCGGAGCTACAATAACTTGATCGTACAACAACAACACGAACACATGTGACCGGGTCCAGCGGGGGTGCATGATGTCAGCCCGCCGGGCCGGACGCGAAACGTGACAGCGTTTCCCCGCACCGGGACGATCGGGAGCAGAGATCTGCTTGCAACATTTCCATAACCGTGTTCCCATCTGGGGAACAGCGCGAAACTCTAATTGAGTGAAGCCCGTGTTCCTGCGTCTGCGTCTCTGCCCAGCGCACGTACATAAAGGCCCGTGGGCTGCTTGCGCCGTTCTGCTGATTGCTGTAGAGTCGTCTCGCTCTCTCCCCTCCCATCCCTCCCTCCTCCACCACCCGTCATGTCCCCGCTCGCTCCCCCGGAACTGGGGCGCTTCCAGAACATACGCGTGTACTGTACGTTAATCATCCCCATCCCTCCCTCCCTTCCATCCATTCCCACCCACTCTCTCCAATATCTTATCACAAACTAACGCAAAAAACTTTGTTTTCGCTCGCGAATAGGGCTCGCATTCATCGCGTACTGGGGCATCGTGCTCTTCGGATACGACACCGGCGTCGGCGGCGGCGTCGTCGCGCAGCCGTACTTCCAGCAACACTTTGGCTTCTTCGGCGACAAGAAGAAGAGCAACAACATCTCGTCCAACGTCGTCTCCGTCCTCCAGGCCGGTGCGTTCTTCGGCGCCCTCGGCTCTGCGCCCATATCGAACCGCATCGGACGGCGATACACACTTCTCCTGTTCTCGCTCGTGTTCTCCGTCGGCGCTGTACGTATCATCCTCCTCTCTCTCCCTTCCCCTCCCTCCTTCCCTCTCCTCGTTTATCGAACGCAACTGACGTCGCTCGATAATGCAGATCCTGCAAACCGTCGCAGGCGGCTCGCGCGGCCTGGGCTACATCTACGCAGGACGAGTCGTCGCCGGCGTGGGCATCGGCGCCATCTCCGCCGTCGCCCCCGCCTACGTCTCCGAATGCTCGCCCAAGGAGGTGCGCGGACGCATCACCGGGCTCTTCCAGATCATGGTCGCCACAGGCGTCATGCTCTCCTACTGGATTAACCGTGCGTTCCATCCTCTTTTCCCCCCTAACATGTCGTTATCTAACCGATGTGTGTTCGTTCGTTGCATCGTAGTTGGCATTACATTGCACATCAAATCAGGCTTCGCGATCTGGCAAATCCCATTCGGCCTCCAACTAGTCCCGGCCTCCATAATGTGTCTAGGTCTCCTAACCGTCAAAGAATCCCCGCGCTGGCTCGCCTCTCGCGGGCGTCACGACGAGTCGCTCGCCTCCCTCTCCTACCTCCGCCGCCTCCCGCCCTCCGACGAGCGCGTGCGCCACGAGTTCGCAGAGATCCAGGCGGCGATCGTCGAGGAGCGCATTGCGCGCGAGGGATTGGGGCTGAGGGAGGCGTTCTTGGGGAAGGGCAATTGGCCGCGCTTTGCGATTGCGGTGTTGATTTTCTTGTTGCAGCAGTGGTGTGGACAGAATTCGGTTAATTATTATGCGCCGCAGATCTTCCAGTCTGTGAGTACCCTCTCCATCCTCCTCCCTTCCCTCCCATCCCCTCCTCCTCCTTCCCTCTCCTTCTTTCTCTCTTCTTCCTCCTCCATGGCACTCACTAACCCTCGCTTGCTTCGCGCGCACAGATCGGCTACGTAGGCACCTCCAACTCCCTGCTCGCCTCGGGCATCTACGGCATAGTCAAACTAGTCGCCACCTCCCTCTTCGTCTTCTTCCTCGTCGAGACCCTCGGCCGCAAGCTCTCGCTCTTCATCTCCGCCATCGGCATGGGCACGCTCTTCTTCATCGTCGGCGCGCTCGAGAAGACGCACCCGCCGCCGACGGTTGCGGGCTCTGAGCCCCCGCCGGCGAGTAAGGCGATGGCGGCGATGTTGTATATTTATGTGTGTTTTTATTCGATGGGGTGGGGGCCGTTGCCGTGAGTGTCCTTTCTCTCTCTCTTACATCATAAAATGTGCTCGCCGCTGACGCGTCTCGACAGGTGGGTCTACGTCGCCGACATCTTCCCGACGCGCACACGTCACTACGGCCTCGCGACCGCGTCCGCCTCGCAATGGCTGTTCAACTTCGTGCTGAGCAAGGTGACGCCGAGCATGGTGAGCGCGTTGGGGTACAAGCTGTTTTTGATGTTTGGGACTATTAATGTGTTGGGGATGGGCACGTTCTCTTTGTGCGTACCTCCTTAGCTCTCTCCCCTCCCCTTGCTCTCCATCTCCCCGTTCCTCCTCCCCGCTCCCCTCCCGACTGTCTTCCTTCCCTCTCCTCTCCGTGTGATGTTTTGGAAGAAGCGAACTGACGTCCGCCCCCAGACTCCTCCCCGAAACAAAAGGCCGCTCGCTCGAAGAGATGGACATCATCTTCGGCGCGGTGGACGCGACGACGCGCGCGCAGCACGTCGAGAAGGAGGAGCGCGCGATCGACGGACGGGTTGGCGGGGCCGAGGAGGTCGGGAGTGTACGGTCGGACGTCGAGAAGGTGTAGGCCGAGCGAAGCGAGGCTCTGCGCGAGCGAGGGCTGCGAGGCTCTGCGCGAGCGAGGCCTCCGCGGGCGTCGGATCGTACGTCCGCTCGTTTGAAGGGCGGACGGATGTTGTTGACGATGTTGACGATCTTATTCTTTTCACGGTTTACGCCTACTTTACGTTGCGATTACGCACGAGCTGCTGCTGCTGCTTTTTTGGAGGATATGATTGTGTATTTGTATTTGTATGATGGGTAGTTTACTTCTATATTATCTGGTATCTCTTACTGGGTTTCCGTTGCGCGGCTTCTGTTCTGTTCTGTGTCATGGAGCGGATGAGTTGGTGAATGGGTGAATGAATGAGTGAGCGGACGAGTTGGTGAATAGGTGAGCGAATGAGTTGGTGAATACATGAAGGCACGATCGGCCGAACGAGTGGACGAGTGGACGAACGGCGTGGCACTTTGCGCCTTCTATCTCGTCGCGGGTGAGTGAATGGAGGTCTGAACTGAAAGGCACTTTGCGCGCGGACGAGTGAACCGACGAACGAGTGGGTGCATCCATGCACGGCCGAACGAGTGAACGAACGGATGAACGAATGGGAGCATGAATTGCACTTCGCGCGTTCTATCTCAGGGAGAATGAGTGAACAGCACTTCGTCCGCGGACGATTGAACCGACGAACAAATGAATGAATGTCACCGAACGGCACTTTGTGCCTGCTATCTATCACAAAGGGGATCGACAAACAAACGAACGAAGCATGAGGCGGCACTTCGTCGGAACACAAGTGGGCTCGTGAAGAACCCAGGACGCATGGACGACGACGATCGCGAACTCCTCACCTTCGTCCTTATCTCTTCGGTTCGAGGGCCGCGCGCCCTTCAACGGTCTCGCGCGGAGCAGCACAAACTTCACGTCATAGACGACTGTGCGCAGATCTTAGCACGGCTCAATGGTCTAGTAGTATGATTCCTGCTTCGGGCGCTTTGTCCCTCGCTCCGCGCGAGAAACTGCAGGAGGTCTCGGGTTCAATTCCCGATTGAGCCCTTTTCCTCCGCCTCACTTTTTTTCTCTTTCTCTTATTTGTGAGCTCGGGCGGAACAGGAAAAGGGGAGGGGCTTGCTGGGTGGCTGTTTTGGTCATTTTTGGGTGCACTTCAGATCATCAAAGAGAGGTGAAGAATGGAGAGGAATTTGTGTGAAAATAAGAAGTGTGAGAATGATCTGGCTATTTACAGACTGTGTGAATTTGGAGTCCAAATATAACCTCATGGGAATTTCGAGTCCTAATATGGGCTCGTGGGAATTATTTCGCCCAATATGGGATATTTCTCACACTCCAATAAAATCATTTTTATATTCATTAAAAGTGTATTTTGGACAATGTCAAAAATTTATTCTAGCACTTGTAAATTTTGGTTTACCTGATCAGACTGACTTGCAGAGTATGTAGAGAGGCCTTGCAGATATGGTGAAGGTCAACATGACTGCTAGCTATGTTTGGTAGAGGAGGAAAACTTGTTTTTATGAAAGTCTGATGAGACGTAAATTCATTTTATTGACTACTAAGTACAAATTGATTCCAGCTCATACTTACCTACGTATGGCTCTAAAGCCACGGAATACGTAATGGTAACTGCACCACTTCCATTCTATCACTGTTCCAAATACAATATTTAAGTACTCATTAACGTAAAGCATTGTACGTTTGGAGTGGCTGAGGGAACTTTGTTCCACTGCAATATAATGCAAGGAATACGCAGCACCGTCAAAAAGACCATCAGTCATTCCTGTGTGATGAAACCTTTCATTACGAATAATTTAAATTTAAAGTAAAATATTACACACAGCATCGTTAAGATCATTAAATATACAGCAGCCGTTTGAAACCACTATTAATTCAAGGTCAAATAACTTAATTATGTTATTGAGTAGTTTAATGCTCAGGCAACTTACACATTTTCAACATTCAGCAAGGTTACTGAAAAAGGATTCTACTCCTTTCTGACTAGAAAACGTCCTTTATATCCTTGTAAATACATTTAGTTGTCTCATTAGCAACATCGATTTCAATTTGCAAGTTCTGCAGATGGTGAATGATGTCCGCCAATTTCTGTGGATTGGCTTTTACCTCTGTATGGGAATGGTAAGACTAACAGAACTGTAATCAGCTCAATGCAGTCATACCTTGTTTCCCAGGGCTTTCTGTTAAAATATCCTTCAGTGGGACCAAAGGATTTTCTATAATGTATTAATTAGATTTATTATGTGATTCAGCACATTAAGACTTATCTAAGGCTTGCATCATCATTGTGTTATAATTTAGATACAGAATGCCACTGGTATGTGAAGTAAGGATAGTCTGAACATTATATTGGCAATATTATTATGAAAGCTAAATAGCTTCAGACTCTTATTACTTTTATTTACAAAGGCAACAACGTATCTTTAAAGTTACTTATACTTTTGCCTTGTGTTTCATCCTTCCCTGCTTTCTTAAACACACTCATTTCCCTCTCCAACTCACATTTCGAAAATGAACGCGGTCACGAACATCGCCTCTAGCACTGTAAGTTATTTTGCCTATTCATTGTAATATACTCTAACTAATTTATTACCTCTAGATCAACGTCCTTACTGAATCCATCCTCGCATTGACGAACACCATAACCCAGTTGCAGGCGCACATCCAGCGGCTGGTGCTAAGTGAACAAGCAGCTCAAGTCCGCCTGACCAACATTCGGGAGATGCGCCGCATCATCCGCCGCTACACTGACAGCCTTCTCATGCAGCAGGTGGGCCTTGTCATCCGCTTGCTGCTGAACACATACAGTGCCCCAGCGGGTTCAGCAATCATAGAACAGATTCACCCTTTGGTAGAGATAAGTTTTTGCTGTGTTTTTCTTACACTTTATATTTCTTTTATAATACATATAACAAGGAGAGAAATCTATGGCATGATTAGAATTAACAATTTGATAGTTGATTGAAATATGTATCTTATCTAACTTATCAGTATTTCAATAATATACGTAGGCAGTGACTTCTGACAAGCCATCTGAGATTTATATTAGTAATTTGTGTCAGAGACCATAGGTTCAATGTTTCATATAGTACAACAATCAGTTTTGTTCTGTTTTTGAACGCGGACCATCATACTCATTGGTGGCAGCCTTTTTGTCATACAAATAATAAATCATTAAGCCTAGATGATTTAGTTCAAAATACATAATTCGTCTTAAGTCCCAGATGATGCTTGGTGAAATCAGAATTGTGAGAGAGGGTGAATTGCTGAATTTGTCATTTTCTGATATATACACTATGAGGACTATGTTAATATTGAAACACTACTTCAACTGGTCCTTGATCTTCTGCTAGATATTGTTTAGCTTTTATAACATTGACACTTTTATAAGAATATGTGAAATCCAGTCAACAAGTCCAATTGCACAGATTAATTTCCTTGTGCTGCTAAACAGTACTGATATGGAAGGATCAAATACTTAACTAAGGAGTTCTTGTGATCATTCACACTAGTAACATTTACAGCTATATAAAATCATCATGCAAATACCTTCTCAAAGTTATTAATGACATTACATGTGTGTAAAAAAAAAATAAGCTATCTTTAACTTGCTTAAGATCTGTTATAAGATCTTCACTTGAAGCTCTAGAGATTGTATAATATCTTGAGTCTGCTGAAGGGCTTCAGCAACCTTTAATGTGTCATGATCATCTGATGCTTATCTGAACAGAATGGTGGACTCATCAAAGAAAATAACGAAATAAGGATGGGTAGTTGTGGAGGTGATAAAATGATTGACTGTGGGGAAAAATAGCTAAGTGACACTGTGTCCATTTGTATCTTCAAGGCTACAAGGCAAAGGAGCATAAATGTTAGGATTATCTGAGTGATTACATTTTGGTATAAAACTGTGGCTGTGACTTTCACTCTTAAGTTCAGCCTCTCGCTCTCAGTACAGCTTAACCAGCCAAACAATGGATAATCAGACCGGTATGTGTGTATACCCTAGTGCAACATAACAATCTAATGGCACTCCATTCCTCCATGGAAGATGATGTCCTCTGCTGGCTGCAGGCCAGCGCTGAGGATGAAATTCTCGCGCTCTATGCTGGCACTCACCTGCCAACACCATCCGACATCAGATCCACGGCAAACACCGTGCAGGCGGTCACGTCTAACCCAAGCCCACAAGCCAGCTCTGAGGTTGGCGCCCGTCTCATTGCAGTCCTGGACGCCCGAATGGCCAACGTCCAAGGCCAGGTGTTGACCGAACTGGCGTCATTGAGGCAGGCAATGGTAGATAGATTGGCGGAGTTACAGAGCGCTCCTCCGTCTCTGCCCCAACCTGCAGAATCCACCTCGCTGGTGGAAAGATTTCTGCGGTTTGTATTGGAGACAGTGCAGAATCTGTTGGGCCGAGTCAGGGTGCATTATCCCTCAGTCCTTTCTCACCTATTTTCCCATTTCAAACAGGCAGAGAACCAGGTTCTTCCGACATGAAGTGCAGGCTCTGGTATCTAAAGGAAATCACACCGTTCACTTACAAACATCTGGGCCTGCATCAGGAAAAAAACAAAATGCTCATACCGCGCACTCAGAGTACATACCATCACGTACCATATATAGCATATATACCAGTCTGTATCTACTATGTACATTCTCTGTGATATATACTATAAAGAGCATTTGACTAGTTCATACACCGTTATGTCAGATTGCAAGGAATTCCTAGCATTGCAGACCGCGGTCTTGTAATCTAGGCGCCCAACGTTTCAAGACAGAGAAGGCACCTTCCAAGGTGTAGACTGGCATATTCATGTGATCTGATAGTTTTCATTTTATTCATTAGAATACATATTAATTCTAGCTAATATCAAAAGGGAAAGTAGTTTGACAATTGCCTCAAGTCGAGATGGCAGTCTTGACATGTAGGTGCCCAACGTTCGAGATGGTGAAAATGCCCTCAATCTGATATGTACGCATCATTACCATAGTTAAAAGTAAGAAAACGACGAGTACAAGCCAAATGAAGTGAATACATAAAGACAGATATATGGGTTTACCAAAAAAAAAAAGCTGAGGCTTTGTCCATCACAGTGTCTGCTGTCCAGCTGGGATCAATTGTCGTCCTAGCCTTCGCAGCTAAATGACATGTCCCAATGATTCGGTCAACGCTAATAACCTCTGTGTGCAATATTCGGCTACGAGTTGACCGTGAGACTTGATACAGGCTTGTACTTGCGTCAGAATGCTTGAAAGGCGTGTACCATTCGATATACGCCAGGGGATAGAGAGCGCTGCCGAGCTCTGACGGCAACTCGAAAATAACGCGAAGTCTAGCAACACGCAGGCCTTTGTTGATGAGTACAAGATGAGTGTGAAATGAGCAAACAAACTCTACATCAATGAAGAAACTGGCGCACCCTCGAGCGATGTATTCCTGCCTTAGTCTTTGAACCGTGCGATGTCCTCAACTACCAGAACGGAGTCGAAAATACCGGGAGTTGCTTACATACGGCCGCGTAGTGCGCTGGGCGCAATTGCGCGGGCCTTCTCGAGTAGTATACTGTTCATGATAAACTGGCTTGGAATCTTCTTCACCTTAAGTTGCTTGTAAACGTTATATGTCGTCTGTGGTGTCGGCATGAAGGGGCTATCTTTGTAGTTTGTCTGAGTATAGTGCTGTAGACATGTAAGGAAGGCATGCGTTACATGGTTCTGGTAAAGGTGGTCTGGCGGTATACGCTCAAGTGGACACTTCTTTGCGATAATGTACGAGCGGGGGCCACTTGAAGGCAGAAACCGAGTGTCGTTTTTGTCTGTGTCATCGTCGAATTCGTCAGAATCATCGAGACTGTTCTACAAAACAGGTGACATGAGTCAGTTAATGCCTGAGTCTCTGTATTAACTCAGATCGGGCATGGTGATGTTCGGCTTCAAAGGACCCTCACGTAGCCACTTGTGGAATTCGAGTTCGTCTTGAATGGCTTCTTGCTTTGAAAGCCATGTCGTCATATGAGCAA